GTGTGTGTGTGTGTGTGTGTGTGTGTCCCATAGCCAATACAAACCCCTCCAATAGGGCCCTCATACTAGAAATGAATCTCAAGGAATCAGAGGCACATATTGATTCTAATTCAGAAAATCCATTGTAGTTCAGATTCTAATTCAGTAAGAAGTTACATTATAACCAATCATTATGGTCACTTAAAAAGCACTGGTGCTCATCTCGAGCCCAAATGATATTTAATGCTAAAATGGTAATTATATGATGTTTGGTAATGGATCACATCACAGTAACAAGAGTGTGTGTTGATAAATGATGGCATATTCCGCATACTTTTCTGGAGTTGTCTGGTCACGGTGATATCCTCCAGATCAGCTCACTTCCTGCAATCACCTGCACTGTCTCGGCTTCTGGAGGAGGCATTTCATCCGGCTCCTCATCCGCATTATTACTCTGCAAAAGACCCCAATTCTGCATGTCAGCAACATTTGTACAGCACATTATATTAGGCATTGATTAATGTTAATAAATGCCACAAATTAAATGTCAAATCAAATGCATGCGGTATGATCGTGATCATTATCAGTCACCTGTGTGCTTCCCTTCCTGTCCTTCTCAGAGCGCTTTGTGTCAGATTTTCTGTGAGCATTAAATGTCGCTGGATCCATAGAATACAAGCACTCCGTCCACTTGCCATACAGAGCACAGATCTTTTTTTTGCTGGACAGATATAAAGAAAATGTGGCCACTTACTGATGTACATTTATTTATGCTTTTGGTAACATTTTAGATGTTTTAAGGGAACACAAGTAACTAAGAGTTTTCAGTCAAAACACTAATTTGCTGCTTATTGATAGTAAGGTAGTTGTTATAGGCTAGTAGTTAAGGGAAACAGGTCAATTTAGCTCAAATGGAATTATTTTTTATTTTATAGAGAATTTGACCAGAATCACTGTTTTACGGCTGATCAACTGAATCAACCAGCAATTCATTGAACGAGCCGTACAACATCAACTCTGCAATGGATATTAAAATCCAAAATATAGTGAAAACACTATTAATCAGCACAGTAACAAGATCGGCAGTTTAAGCACAAAACACAAGATAAATCTAAGACCATATAAACTAATCTAACACATAAACACGCACTCACACATTCACACAAGTTGCAGGAAGAGAGAAAGTGAGGAAAGAATGAGTTTAAGAGAATGAAAATGTGAAATCCCAAGTTTACAGCAATATGTGCAATTGCTTAGACCTGAACAACCATCAATCACTTAATTAACCCTCGCAATGAGTTCCTCAATTAGGCTATTAAGCTTTATATTAAATGCACCAGTTCAGCTAGGATATGGAGGTACTTCCGTTGCTTGTTTAGGGGGTTCCCTTGTTGTCCAGTTGCAAAAAGGGGTTTCCCGAGGTTGCTGATTGGCTGGAAGTTCAGTAGTCATTGAAGTGATGTCTTGGGAAGCCAATGGTTGGGCGTTGGCTTAAGATGCGGAGTTGTGGGCTGGTTGAAGTTTTGAGACTCGAGGTGAACTCGGAGACACGGCATTGCGGCAAAACTTAACTCAGAACACGAAACTCTCAACGGGAAAGAAAAGAAACTAAAGTAAAAGAAAGAAAAGAGTAAAATTTGACGTTTCTCCTCATGGTTTTAGAGGAGCTGCTGGCATGCAAGCCAGAGCACGCTGGAATGGCGCTCGAAGAATTCACGGGCAAAAAACCTGGCTAAAAGCTTAGGCCAAAAGCTAAAAGCATCATTTGATGGTGTCCTGAATATTTAAACTGGGCTGTTGGACACATCCCAAATGGTGTCTTGACCAATTAGACATTGTCTTAGCTCGGGGTGTTGCTATGTTTCTCCTCCCAATCGATAAATCAACATGCTGTCTTATCAGTCACATGGTCCGAATTTTCCCACTCTTGCAGAGTATAATTTTGGACTGATTGGGATCATTTTGGAATGATTTCTATAACAAGAATATAATACATTTTACAAAGTATTGATTGATAGAAACGTTTAAAGCATGAATTTTCAAACGCATACATACCCAACATGAATATAATCCTATAAACTATTCAATAGTTATTCAAAATACATACACAATGAGTGATTAGAACATGATAGTGAAATGTGTGGGTTACATACATTATATGGAGTTAAGCAATGGACTGATATTTGTTTATAAGTCTTTTTGAGATCATTTTGGTGCATCTACATCTGTAAAAGACAGTGTCTCTGGCCCCATTTACACCTGGTATTAACGTGCGTTTTCGTCGATCCGATTACAAGTGGACAAAGGAGACACATTGCCGTTCACACCTGGCGTTTAAATGCGTCTCGTTTGTCCACTTTCGACCACTTCTGTCCTGATTCCATCGAGGCGAGGGTCTATGGTCGGAACTACAGTGGGAGGGTTAAACGCACGGTTACATGTGGATGCGCACCAATATTACGTCAGAGTCCAGCTGTTTGTGTTGTCATCAAACGAAGATGCTCCACAACGTGCTGTGCATGTTTATGTATGGGCTTTTTCAGTTATTTCGATCCAGCGGACGGAATAAGCTCACACAACTGTCGTATACTCGCAAAATGAGACGACAGAAAAAGACGAGGAGAGCAGCCGCTTTTGTTTCTGCAGTGTTAGCCACAAGACCTTGCCGAACAAAGTGGACTTGCGCTAGTGCATCGAAATAAACTTTCTAGTTCAACCCGGCAAAGTTTAAATCAGACTCATGGCGCCAGGGTATCATGGACAGATTTATGATGTTGTCTTGTTGTCCTGGGCCTCTTTGTGGAATTTGACTCTTTGGATTGTTGTAACACCAATCTTAAATTGTCTGACTCTCATTAGAGTATTAGTAGACCGTTAGGTTAGGTTTGGGTTAGTAAAATAAGTTGACATGTACTTGCAAAGTTACTTACAGTCAGTAGAATGTCTGAAGTGGAAGATCAAAATGAAGTGTTACTCACTATATATCCAATCAAATCACAGTAGACCAGAGCTAATTTCACATACTGCACTACACCACACTACAGTCATATCAAACTGAATCAGAAATAACATCAGATATCTGTCATTTTAGTAGTGTTTACATACCTTTTATCAAGAATGTATCCTTCCACTTTATGCAACTCTTTTCCAAAGATGCCATACGGTTTGAAAGTCAAACAACATCTTTCCCCAGTTCTGATAAAAAGCACAGTAAAATCATTTGTGGGCCTTGTATGTCTTCCATACGTGACCCTGGACCACAAAACCAGTCATAAGGGTCAATTTTTCGAAATTGAGATTTATACATCATCTGAAAGTTGAATAAATAAGCTTTCCATTGATGTATGGTTTGTTAGGACAGGACAATATTTGGTCGAGATACAACTATTTGAAAATCTGGAATCTGAGGGTGCAAAAAAATCTAAATATTGAGAAAATCATCTTTAAAGTTGTCCAAATGAAGTTCTTAGCAATGCATATTACTAATCAAAAATTAAGTTTTGATATATTTACAGTAGGACATTTACAAAATATCTTCATGGAACATGATCTTTATTTAATATCCTAATGATTTTTGGCATAAAAGAAAAATGGATAATTTTGACCCATACAATGTATTGTTGGCTATTGCTACAATTACACCCCAGCGACTTAAGACTGCTTTTGTGCTCCAGGGACACAAATTAGTTGTTCTTTTCAAACCTTAATAAAGCAACAATGATCTAATTTACATCCTTGTTTGTTGCACTTTTTTGTCAAATTAGAGGACAATACTTGCTCTTACTTATGATTAATAATTTCAACATTTCCATATTGCTCAATCCACAGCTGTCCCATGATAATGTTATGAACACAGCAGGTCGGGTTGGTCCAGGTGTAGGCTTCATTGTGGCTGAAAAACAACAAATTAACAATACATAAGTCAATCGTGTAGCTGAATTGACATGTAAGAAGTCTTCTTGACCTCTGTTGAATGAACACATGCTCCACGTGTTTACTGCTGTACATGTAAGGCAGTGAAGGACTCACAGAGGAAGCTCTAGGGTGATGATTCCACGCGGTTCGGCCTCCACACTCTTTCCCCAGAATTTGAGTTTTGGATAAATGGATCCATGAAACATGAAGTCGCTCTCTATGCCCTCGGCGTGGAAGGCACTGACCGGCGGATGATGACTGACCTGCTCAGAGACCCATCTGAAGCCCAGATCCTCTCTGATGACACAAAAACACTGACAGTTCATATGAAACATGAATGTGTTCGCTCATAACTGATCAGTTGATGTGAAACACTGACCTGAGCAGCTCGTAGGTTTCTCCGTGCAGTGGGTTGAAGGGATTTCCCGTCCTCTCCCACTGCGAGGCCACAGCTGACACAGCAAAAGCTGCCACACACTGAAAAACCAAAGAAACATGATATTACCAACAGAGTACAGTTTTTTTACAATCACTAAAGCACATTTCTTAATGTGCTTGGCAGTACATTTCACATTCAAAATGAACTAAAACTACCAAAACACTTCATACAGTCTCAAATCAACTAATTTTTCCATAACAGTAGCAAAGGTTTCAACCCAACAATCACTCAAAAAAAATCCCCTTTTGTATAGATGACAATTAAAGATTATGTAAACATACAAAATTGCTTGTAGAGACCATAGAGTTTTAGTAGTGATTGTGTTTGAGCCATATCAGGTTTATTGAGTATAATTATAAATATTCAGATCTTTTGCTTATAGTCAAAATTAATTTTATTTTATTTTTTAGCTAAAATTTCATTGATGTAATAGTTATTCAGTACTAAAATATAATGTGTGTTGTATTTATTAGATAAGATTACATACAATTTGCATGATGCAAATTCTGTATACTGAAGGTAATTAAATGAAAGCATATTAAATTCAGGTCTTTGCCGTAATCTATATGATTTGCACCCACCTGTTATTGTTTGACCTAAAAGACAATTTTATGAGAAATCTAATTCTAAAATGAATCTTAACCAAAGCTGAAGTTAAGAAACTGAAGCTAATTTTCATGGTCTCTCCAATTTAAAAAACATAAAATCCACGTAAAATCTGAATTCTTGTCACCATCATAATCATTTTAATGGCTTAGCAATGCAAACATCACTCTGGAATGCATTAATGCTACCATATGCATGTTAATATAGGCCAGGCTTAAATTCAACACTGTTTTACTCAGTAGGATCCTGTTCTATTTCTCTATTCACCAAGGGTTTCTTGGGCTAAAAAAATAAAAATATATTTACCTTCATTCTGTGGATGGAGTCTTGTGAAGCGCTGGTCTTCTGGATGAGGTATGTGTGCTCCATGTATTCAGTCAATCTCTGAAGAAAACTCAAAGGCTCGTTAAAAATCACCGGCATTGTGATTTTAGACAGTTCCTGTGAAGATTTAAAGATGAGAATAATTGATTAACAGACTGCTTTTACATCAGAACTCGAGTCACCTTTACTCTATAGCGCTTCATAATGCATATCGTTTTGTAAAAAAGTTCATCTGTTCAGTTTAATAACTGTGCACAGTTCATGAATTATAAAACAAGTTCAGTTCAAGCAGCTCTACTGAAGACAGTAGTGTCATTATTCAGCTCAAGTCAGTTAAAAAAATCAGCAGCAGATCCACTTTACAAACCGAAGCACTGCTTACATCATGTAAACCTAACAATGCAAACATATTTATGCATATATAGCCATATTTGACTTACCATCCCAATGCATTTTTTGAGAACGCCCCACATACTGACATTGTTTCGTGAGAACATTGCAGCAGGAAGAGCTGACCTATTCCAACATGGAGAGTGAAAAACATTTCTCTGAGTTCAGAACTGTACACATAATCAGAGAACACCAAATGCAAACATGTATTCCAGCCAGTATATTTAAGCAATATTGCTGTTGTTCTTAATATAAGCACTTCTTAATGTAATCACAGCCATGCTGATATTCAGATCAATAGTACGATGGCAGATGTGATACTGCTGATACACAACAGTTCAATAAACAATAAGTTCACATTGAGTAACTTTACAGTAGTTCTATCAACAAAAATCAATCAATCGCTGCATGACACAGAGCAATGCTGCAATGAGGTTAAGTATAAACCAGGCTTAACCCCATAACCCTGTAACCAAGAAGGGAGCAGATCATTTATGCCTTAAATCACAACTTGCAGATCCATGTAAGCATCATAAGAAAGTATGTAAATTAAATAATATTTCACTAGTACAAACTATAAATGTTCCTCTTTTGGGTCTCATTGCACTGGCTTCCTGTAGCTGTCCACATTAAATTTAAGGCTACATGATGTAGGTCTACGAATGTATGAATAAATGTAAATGTAAGTGAATAAATGTAAATTTGATAGGTGAAACCAACAATGCAACACTCAATATGATATATTATTATATATATCCTTGCATCATCACTCATTTCACCAACCTGAACCTGATTAAAGATTGAAGAACCCTGGTCTAAATACTAGGAAACCAACTTTCCAACCAATTATTACTATTATGTTTTTGGTCACGATGTGGGGCCCATCATAATACAGATGCCATAGATCATGACGCTCTGCTCAACAGGCTGGAGAAATGTTGTTATGCTAGTCTATTTTAGATCCTATCTTTCGATTCACTACCACTTTGTTTGAGTGATTTAGGTCAAACCTAAAATAAATTTAATAGTATGGAGTGCCACAAGGCTCTGTCTTGGGGCTTCTATCATTATGATTGATTAATAATGTGACCATAATTATATACTTCATGTAGCTAAGTAATGAAATATGGTTTTACTCAGCTAAACAACAGCTTTTAACAGCACGATTAAGCAGCAGCAACAACAATAATAATCATCTGCAAACACTGTAAACTGGCCTTTTTTATATGCAGTGTAAAAAAATACACATTTTAAAATGAGATAGGAAACCAATTCACATGAAACCACAGGTATACCTGTGCTTTTTGACTCCATTGCACTGGGTTTTGTCACCCTGGCTACCGTCCCCTGACATGATGTCTCTGGGGCCACAGATGAAGCTGTGTCAATAGACACCAAACTGTTTACTGATCTGGCTCTAGAAAAACAGAGAAGGATGTAGGAAAAACATGGAGCTTCATGAGAAAAGAAGAACATTTGATAAATGTTATAAATAAAAAGAAATGCATAGAATGATATAGACAGACTGGCAAGACCAGAACTATGCTTTCAAACAGCTTTATAAGCCCAAGTAGATCATAGAGAACACTGATGCCAATGTTTTGTATGATCTAATACGATGCTTTTGGGAAATGCAGCCCAGAGCTGAGAATGTGGACAATTAACATCAACAAATGGATTTGTAATACTGTTCAAATTATTTCTTGTTGTGTACATTATGTATATGGAACATATGCATTTAAGCAAACTCTACTCTACCATTGTAAAGCATATAGGATTATACGATTATGACAGTATTACATTCTGCGGAATGATGACATCTGTCAACAGCAAATTACTGTAAGATATGCACTTACACCTTTTTCAGTTTAATTTCATTTGAATTTAATATGTAATTCCACTTTCTCATTCTCACAGCTCATCCTGAGATGGTTTATAATGTTGCAGGTTTCTCTGGTTTCAGCACACACTGCTATTTTAAGCGTGTTTACTGTAGTTCACAATGTACTGAACATCTGTCTACTGACAGAGCCCTAAAAAAGGATCAGTGCTTAGCTATACAACACTCTCAGAAAAAAGGTACAACAGTACTTTTTCAAAAGTAAACCCTTGTGTCTTATTTATCCCTAAATGTGCATATTAGTACCTTAAAGGCACATAATGTATTTTGAAAGGGTACCATCACAGTAACAGGTTTTGCACCTTTTTTCTAAGTGTAAACCTTGCCTATAATAACACATAAATTTGCTTATAATCATTGCAAGTAAATTCTACGAATGATTACAAATAAACATCAAGTAACACATATAGTATACACAAATAGTATTTTCTTGTTAAACATACTCCAATAATCTACACCTTACACCCCTCTTGTTCTTCTCACCTTTACTTTCTTTACTTTATCTTTACTTTCAGCGCCAGAGGACATTGTCTGATTAAATCTACTGTCCGTAGCTTCATGTGACAGTGAAATAAGTGACATGAAAGTGAAAATATCAGCAGAGAAGAGCAGAAATGTGAATGTACCTGCTTGAATGGCCTCTGCAGGAGTCACCTTGTTTTGCGTCCTGTCTGCTGTTCCTGTATGTGAGACTGTAGATGCGTGAAATGGAGCACAGGAGAGAGAGAGTGTGTGTGTGAGTGTGTGCATCACAGCGCATGAGTGTGTGTGTGTGTGCGCATGTGTTTGCAGAGCTCAGCATAAAGAGGATCGGAGAGCAGCTGATCAATCTACACCTGTGCTGTGATGAAAACTCACTCCAACACATACATCTATGTGCTACCTGAACTATTAATAATAATGCAATCCTTTTATACAGTACTTATCAGCATTTCTACATAGTTTCTGTAATAAATGTGATTGTTACCTCAATGGCTGTATTTCCACTGCACACTAACATCACAAGACTCAAATTACAATGTATAGACTGTGTGGACATGTGCTGTCTCCTGGCCTTGTTAAGAGATGAATAAGTAAACATGATAACTGAATATGATTAACAATTTATATTAATACAATACATTAAATTTAGATAGATGATAGATAGATGGATGGATGGATGGATGGATAGATAGATAGATAGATAGATAGATAGATAGATAGATAGATAGATAGTCATAGCTGAAGTGTGGAAGTGATTATGAAGGGCGTAATGGAACAATACTGCTCACTGTACACTGAGTCGTCTTAAGAAGCTTTACTCCTCTTTAACAGAGTAAGCGCCTTTCAGAAACACTCTCATTCATTTTATTGCCATTCATTATATCCAGACAACTGCATAATGCAAAACAAAACTCTAGCTCCGGTGGAACTGCCTCAAGCCCTTATTAGCACACATTTATAAGGCGTTGAACCCAATAATCACATTCTATTCACTCGATGTAATCTAGACAAACAGTCTTCATTGTCTTCATCAATTTAAACATTTATACTTTCTTGTCAGCACAATTAGAACAGCTTAGCCTACTTGCTTAGCGTAGTGCTAACTGATTACGAAATAAAAATTAGATTAGCTAGAAGATATGATAACACACTGACAAAATATGAAGGCTATTGTCAGACTCTGTTCCATGTTTTGTGTGTCCTGCTCCCCATGTGCACCGTGACAGCTATATAGTTTGTCTCACAATCTCACAAAAAAGTACATTTCTGATACAGGCTATAATTCGCTATAATTTAATTACCTGATTAAACCTTTATCTTATATTTAAAGCAAGATGTCTTACATATAGCCCAGTCCTGAACTGTTTACTGTGGATTTACAACTTGCTTTCTCTTCTGAAAATATCATAGAATACAAACGCTCATATAATTGACTTGACTATTGAATTTATTTTTATTCATAACTTGTCATTTATTTTTCTTTTATGATCCATTCCCTTGTTATTCCATACCATTCTATGATCCATTCTGCTGTTATTGAAAAAAAAATATATATATTTGTAAACCACTCCACTGGGTCTTCCGGTTTGATCACATGAACAAGAAGAGCCTATATATGTAAGAGATGAAAGATTTAGAAACGAACATAAAAATGATCTTTGTTTGCATTATCATGATGTCCTAATTCCAAATATGATAAAAGATTTTGTATGTGGGCATGTTGAGGCAATTTGGCTATTCAAAATATAACATAATTTAACTCCAAGTTATCAAACTGATCCAATCCTCCCATTGCTAAAAATGTAGGCCTAAGACAAACAAATGTTTTATGATTTATTTATCATTATGACACATACAAGGTGGGAAAGAATAAAGTAAGAAAAACAAATAATTCAAACAATAAAAGTAATGTTAAACTAAAAACGATACATACTGTATATGGACAAAGGTATTGGAACACGCCTCTTAATTACTGAATTCAAGTATTTCAATCAAACCCATTGCCACAGGTGTATAAAATCAAGTACCAAGCCACGCAGTCTGCATTACAAACATTTGTGGGGAAAAAAGGGTCGTTCTGAAGAGCACAGTAAATTCAAGCATGGTAGGATGCCACCTTTGCAATATGTCTGTTTGTGAAATTTCTTTCCTGCTAGATATCCCACAGTCAGCTGTAATGGTATTATTGAAAAGTGGAAGCATTTAGGAACAGCAGCAGAAGCGGAAGGCCATGTAAAGTAACAAAGCATGTCACCGAGTGCTGAGACGCATTGTGCGTAAAAGTCACAAACAAAACAACACACGTATCGATAACAGTATTGTTTGTCCTTTATTACACACGGTCCAAAAAATGCCGGTTCTCGACTCCCATCGGAAGAAATTTCGTTCTGTGGTGCCTAAACACGCTACTGGGGGCAGTGTGAAAATAACGGTGATCTGACGACTTTGAAAATCATGCAGTGTGAACTCTGCATAAGAGACAGATAGAAATTGTATAGAGCGGTGGGTCCCCAGGACTAGAGTTGAGAACCACTGGTGTAAAGCATGCTGCTACTGGACTCTGGAGCAGTGGAAACCTGTTTTGTGCAATGAAAAATCTTACTTTTCTGTTTGGCAGTCTGAGGGGCAAGTCTGGGTTTGGCAGATACTAGTACAATGTTACTTGTCTGACCACATTGTGCCAACTGTAAAGTTTGGTGGAGGAGGGATAATGGTATTGGGCTGTGTTTCTGGGGTTGGGCACCTTAGTTCCAGTGAAGATAAATCTTAATGCTTCAGCATACTGAGACGTTTTGTGGGAACAGTCTGGGGATGGCCCTTTTCTATTCCAGCATGACTTGCCCCAGTGAACAAAAAAGGTCCATAAAGACATGGTTGGATGAGTTTGGTGTAGAAGAACTTGACTGGCCTGCACAGAGTCCTGTCTTCAACCCCATTCAACATCTTTGGGATGAAAGGCAAAGGAGATTGCAAGCCAGGCCTTCTCGTCCAACTGGATGAATGGGCAAAAATTAACACAAAAACTTATTGGAAAACCTTCCCAGTGTGGAAGCTGTTATAGCTGCAATAGGGGCTCCATATGTCTATGTATTTAGAATGCAACGTCATTAAAGACCCTGTTGGTGTAACAGTCAGGTTTTATTTATATGGTGTATGTCATCTGGATGATGATGCAAAAATAGAATACTGCAGTAATTAGAAAAATAATAATGAAAAAATAAAATAAAATCAAACATCGTGTGTGACATTTTGTTGTTGTTCTGTTTCTCCTTAGATAAGGTTGTTCACATAGGGTTGGGTCAGAGTCCACCTTGTCGAGTCCAAGTTGAGACATAGTCATTAACAACTGTGTTTGAGTGGGAGACGTTTAATAGTCTTTTTATCATAATTTTATGTTCTGTCCAAGTCCACCCGAGTCCATTCATAATTGCATAATTCCTAAGTCCAAGTACCTCAACTCTGTTGTTCAGTCTAGCACAGAGAAACTGGGGAACCATAATAAACCCCAAACCCAGCATAGACGGGTTCAGTGAACGTGGTGTTGAATGTGTGTATGTGTGTGAGTGTGTGTGTGTCAGAGACGCTGTAGAAGGACAGAGTACCAGCAGACCAGTCCAGATACACACCTACTCGATTAGATGATGAAGGGGTTGATATCTCAGTGCTGTCATTATTGTGACAGACAGTGAGTCTGTTATAAAAACTGCTCAGATTCCAGGACTTTTGATTGAATCCAAACCTGCAGTCACTTCCTCCTTTCCTGCTTATATCTTTGTATGTCATTGATATTTCTGTCCCTCTCCCACTCCATTCAGCCTCCCAGTAACAGCGTCCAGTCAGACTCTCTCCACACAGAACCTGAGGATGGTGCTCAAATCTCTCTGGATGATCAGGATACGACTGCAGCTCTTCCACATATGTTGCCTTTCTGTTTCCCTCAGACAGAATCAGATGGCTGTTTACTGTGTTTGGATCTAGTGTGAGACTACAGGCATCTGAACACACAAAGAACGAGAGAAAAAGAGAGAAACATTTGAAGAGCTCATTTAACACCACGTTTAAAAAAATGAACCGACTGCCATGTGTTATTCTCTACATATAGCACGTTCTGAACCCTAAGCACGTTTTGTCATAAAAGACGGTTTTGTCCACTGTCAAGGCATTGCAAGTTCAGGTTTCACAGCAGAAACCAACAAGCGCCCTTCTCGTTTGTGAACATAACCCAATAAGTCCATTTTAGCGAATCAGCACGCAGTATTGAGGTCAGGTGACAAGGCTGCTAGTCACTTTAGAAAAGACTATCTATCTATCTATTACAAATGAAACATTATCTCTACTTGACTAGCAGAGTATTCATTTTGTTTGTTTGTTTAAAATAAGTGGTGATCTGTCGCTTACACGTATTGCTTTTAAAATCATGCTGAATGCTCGTTGCTGCTGTTATCAGTGCCGGTGTTGTGCCGAATTCTGCACCCCTGCCAGATTATGCACCCCCTCGTTGAAATCACTACCTGATTGCCTAATCCTAACCCCACCCCTAATCCTAACCCCTCCCCCATACCTACTCCTAAACCTACCAATACTAGGGGTTGCATAATCTGACGGAGCAGAATTTGGCACAACACCTGTTGCCAAGCGATTCGTGCACAGACAAGTGCTTCAATCTATTGCTAACTGTTGTGGAGACTCTCTATTCATTTAGGTGAAATCACAAAATAAAATGCACACAAACCATCACTGATGAACATATTTGGTTTTAATGAGGGGAAAAAAGTACGGATTAGAACCCAAAGTATCGCTATTTTAGCAATTACAAAGCAATTACTTGGTTTTGTTTACCTCTGAAACATGAAATGTGGAGTTATCTGCTTTTGCCAAAAAACAAACAAACAAACTGTTGGAGTTATCTGTTTTTGCTAAAAAAAATAAATAAAAAACTTTTAATATATATATAAAAAACACACTTAAACATGATTTATGAAAATTTACAAAAACAAAGTTATCTGTTTTTGGAAATAAAAAAACAGATAACTCTTCATTTATAACAAATAAACAAACAACCAAATAAATAAATAAATACATTTATGAGTTTGTGTTTGTATGTAGACCTACATTTTTGCAGTCCTGCTCTAATCCTAAAATCTCCTCCATGATCCATACTATAAACACAAAAATACACATACATTATAAAATGGTGCATATTGCTGATACACAAAACACACACATTTTTACATACTTTTAATTCTTTCCCCACCAGTATAAAAAAAATAAGTTGCCAGCCACAGTCAGCAAAATAATATCTAAACATGCAAAATGTCAAAAGAAAGAACAGAGCCTCTGCTTTTAAACAAGAAAAAAAGCAAAATATATTTATCTCTGGCTTCATGCATTATTATTATTTTTTTTTTTATCAACATGTGAATGTGGGTAAGTTCCATGTTTTTTGCAGAAAGCAGCTTAATGAAACATGAGTGTCATTACCAAAAATTACTTGTAGTTCTGCGAGTTAAACCAATTCAAATTGATTACATTTGATCACATTTCAAGGGACCATGTTGCATGTATGAGCAGCAACTGCCAGCTGTGTGGAACTGCTACTAAAATCAAATGCTTTCATTGCATTTGAACAGTCAAATACACACAGAATTATATCAAAATGCCCCTCTTGCCAAGTATTCACATTAACACTTTGGCTATGTCTTAAGTGAATATAAACATGTGCGTTAGGTCTTAAAGTGACAGCACCCTAATATACCTGCTGCTGTCTGTGTCATTAATGTTAATCAAACAACAAATGAAAAAGAGAGAATCACTATTCTTGACTGAATAACTTAATAATAATTGTGAAACTTCACTGGCATCTAAAGTTACAGCCTTACAATAAAAACCTTATTCCCAGAAAAAAATAACTATATCACAACATATTTTGTTTACGTGAAAATACAAATTATTCATATTGTGAATAAGACTTTGGTCATATCACCCACCTCTATGAATGTACTTAAAAAGTACAGAATCAAATCAATTATTGAAAGTGAAACAAATCTTTTTGTCAGTCATATTGTTTTGAATTTCCAAAAATTGTTCCTGAATTGAACAGAAAACCAATGAATCGTGAAGTGAATCGATTCACTGTCTACCTAAAGATTCAAACCTCTAATCTGACCACTTTATAAAGTGGTCTGTGGTATGGTTCCTTGTTGGTATAATTTGTTACATTTATATAGCGCTTTTCTAGACACTCAAAGTGCTTTACTGTGAGGGGGATCACCTCATCCACCACCAGTGTGCAGCATCCACCTGAACGATGCAGCGGCAGCCATAGTGTGCCAGATCGCCAACCACACACCAGCTTATTCGTGGAGAGGAGAGCAAAGCAGCCAATCAGTAAATATGGGGATGATTAGGTGGCCATGATGGTCAGAGGCCGATGGGCAAATCTGGCCAGGATCTCGAGGTTACACCTCTACTCTTTTCAAAAGACTTCCTGGGATTTTTTATGACCACAGAGAGTCAGGACCTCGGTTTAACATCTCATCTGAAGGATGGTGCTTTTTGACAGTATAGCGTCCCTGTCATTATTGGGTGTTAGGACCCACACAGAGCACAGGCTGAGCACCCCATGCTGGTTTCACTAGCACCTCTTCCAGCAGCAACTTGGTTTTCCCAGAAGGTCTCCCATCCAGGTACTGACCAGGCTCAACCCTGCTTAACTTCAGTTGGTGACCAGGCAAGAGCTGAAGAGTGATAGCTGCTGGCAAACATGAATGCAATTTTTTTCCAAATCACAGAAGTGAGCTGCTATTGATGACATATACTTTGCATATTTGCTCTCTATGTGTCATTTTGGTAGTAAATCCAATGCATGAATAAAACAATGAAGCTGGCATCCTTTTGTCCTGAGTTAGTCATAGTCGTAAACATATCCTGCTCATGGTGGAACTCACATAATGATGCGAATATACTTTGATTCAAACCCAAAATGTGAAAAGAGATCAGCAACAGAGAGGCGATCACATTCATTTTGAAAATATATAAAACACATACTTGAGTGTCTGCAGTGAGCAGTTAGGATCGTTCAGTTTGTCACTGAGGAGCTGGACTCCTGATTGTCCTGGGTGATTGTAGCTCAGATCCAGCTCTCTCAGGTGTGAGGGGTTTGAACTCAGAGCTGAAGACACAAAACCACAGCCTTCCTCTGTCACCATACAGCCAGACAACCTACACACACACACACACACGTACGCATGCGCACACACGTGTTATCTAAAAGACAATATTGTTGATTTAAATTACTTTTGTTTTTACACTAATGTAACCTCAGCTTAACTTTCTGTTTTCCCAATAATTTTTCAAAAACAGCTAAATCCATCATCACCAATTCTTATGTAAATTTTACGAATTAGTACCAAAGGCTTGTACACGTTTAGAATTAGTAACAGAATATCTTGAATCCATGGCATAAGAAATAGTTGCACATACAAAATATTTTTCTGGACACTCCTTGCTTTTTCTTATTTACAGCCATAGCAAGCAGTGTACAAAATACTCCACATAATTACCTTAATATTTCTAGCTGACAGTTTGGATTCTTCAGTCCATCAGAGAGAATCTTCACTCCTGAATCCTGTAGGTCATTATTAGTCAGGTCCAGCTCTTTTAGGACAGAGTTCGAGGATTGTAGAGCTGATGATAAATTCTCACAACACTGATCAGTGAGATTACAGCCAGCGAGTCTATACAACAAGGAACAAATGATGCAGATGTCCAGTTAGTCATAGTGCTATGTCCTAAAAGGTCCATAGGTTTCATTTAGTTTCATGCTTTAGGTTATACTGAATTAAGAATGGTGTTATGGTATAGCATGTACTTAACTATATTTCTTATTATATTTCTTTTTTTCTTGACATTTTGTTGGCTATTAATTAATTCATTTGAAATGTGGTCATCTAAGGCAAATATTACTTAATTTTGCAAGATAATATACTCACAGAGCTTTTGTGCAGTTGCTCACAGCTGGTATCAATCTTCTTCTACCCTCATCTGATGTGTTGTATCTCTTCAGATCAAACTCATCCAGCGGCTCCTCAGACATCTGAAGCATGTAGGCAATTGTTGAGCATTGAGCAGGAGAGAGCTTCTTCTCTGAGTGTTTGTCTGATTTCATAAACTCCTGAATTTCTCTGGACAGACTCTGATCTTTCACTTCCAGCAGGCAGAGGAACAGATTGATGGATCTTTCAGTGGAGAGTCCATGTCCATCTTTGATCTTCTCTTTAATGTACTGTGAAGTTCTCCTGATGCTCTCTGAGCTGTTCTCTGTGTGTGTCAGTAGATCCTGTAAGAGTCTCTGATTGGACTCCAGTGAGACGCCCAGCAGGAACCGCAGGAACAGATCCAGCCGTCCATTCTCACTCCCAATGGCTTTATCTATTGCTCCTTGATGCAGATTATGCATTGAATTAAAAACCATAAGAGTCTCAGTTGTACTGTGTATATAGCAGTAAAACACATGAAAAGCAGCGAGAAACTCCTGAATGCTCAGATGAATGAAGCTGTAGACTTTACTCTGATGAATCACAGATTCCTCCTTGAAGATCTCAGTGCAAATCCCAGAATACACTGAAGCGTCAGTGATGTCTATGCCGCTCTCACTCAGGTCCTCCTCATAGAACATCACATTGCCCTTCATCAGCTGTTTGAAAGCCACTTCAGCAAGTTTCACAATCACTTCTCTGTTGGACTGCAGGAGTTTCTCTGGATCTCTCTCTTCATACTTCTGGTTCCTCATGTTGATCTGAATCAGCAGAAAGTGGATGTACATTTCAGTCAGAGTTTGGGGGATTTCTGCACTCAGATCTTCTTTCAGGAGCTTCTGAAGCACAGTGGATGAGATCCAGCAGAAGACGGGGATGTGGCACATGATGTGGAGGCTTCTTGCTCTTCTGATGTGTGAGATGATTCTGCTGGCTTGATGCTGGTCACTGATTCTCTTTCTGAAATATTCCTCCCTCTGAGGCTCATTGAACCCCTGAATTTCTGTCAGACGCTTGATGTAATTCACAGCCACTGATGAAGTCTCAGTCACATCACAAACTTTCTGAGTTTCTGCAAACATCAGTGTGATTCTGCTTTCATCCAAACCATCAAAGATAAACACAATTTTACACTCCTCATAAGTCTTTGAGTCCAGATCTTGAAGTTCAGGATGAAAGTCCAGCAGAAGTCTCTGAAGACTATATTGATGATCTTGAATCAAGTTCAGCTCTCGAAATGGAAGCAAAAACATGAAATCTACATCCTGATTGGCTTTTCCCTCGGCCCAGTCCAGAATGAACTTCTGCACAGAGATGGTTTTTCCGATTCCAGCGATGCCTTTAGTAAGAACAGTCTTGATTTGGTCTTTCTCCTCACATCCGGGTTGAGGTGAGGCTTTAAAGATGTCATTGCAGTAGATGGAAGTGTCTTGTGCGTGTTGTGTTCTGGCTGTTTTCTCCATCTGTAAAACCTCATGTTCTTCATTCACTCCATTACGCTCTCCTTCTATGATGTAAAGCTGTGTGTAGATCCTGTTGAGGAGGGTTTCATTCTCTTTGAGCTTGATTCCCTCAAATAAGCTCTCGTACTTGTTCTTCATGCTGGTTTTATGCTTTTCTTTGACTCTTTTCAGGTTTTCAGTCTCCACCTGCAGGGATGCTGGTGTGTAACAGACTCCGTGCATCTGTAGAACAGGACGTGTTCTAGATTTCTTTCTGCACAGAGGACAGTCAAAGTCCTCTGCTAGTCTTGACTGATCCCAGTAGAAACTGATGCAATGTCTGCAGAAACTGTGTCCACACGTGATAGAGACCGGATCTCTCAGAACCTGCTCACAAGCTACACATCTGGACTGATCCTGGATCAGATCATCCATCTTTTCACTAAAGAAATTGGTTTTTAATAACACATAAAAGTTTGCCAAGAGTGAACAGTATAAATATTAAAGCATTCTATTGCAGTTTTCAGCATTATGTAATTATTTCAGCAGAGAGAGACAGAAAACAAAACTTGTAAGAACAAATTTTCTGGTCAAGTTAATGTGAAATGGCAACTTATCAAAGTAGATGTGACCAAAATGTAATCAAGATGAAAGTTGAGAAGTTTTGTTTTGCAGCAAATTTATTCAACTTTCCACCTGCCACAGAACTCCACAACTGTTGCACAACTGTACAAAATCTAATGCCCCCCAGACACTACAATATTTTATCCCTGTTTTACTGTTAAATGAAACTCAAGAAGTCTGTGAAGACTGTACTGATCTCGAATCAAGATCAGCTCTCAAAATGGAAACACACACGAAGAACATGTTAATGAATAATGCAGACAAAAGTCCAAAATGTAACGCAAATCAGTGTTCGTTGACTTGAATGAATCTCTATGTTTGAATTATAAAAGACGCAAACTGAGAGATGCCCACCAATGCCCAAGAGATATTTAGCAGAAGTGTTACCAGGGTTGTGGTTTCCCTGAACAATTAGACCATTTTAAAAATGCAGTCATGGGAAAAATTACAGATCCACGGTTTGCGGTTTTGGCCTACTCATATAATGTACCGCTGCAGACAAAAGTGTATCTGTAAACAAAGAAAAATTAAAAAACATCCTTTTACTAATGTGTGTTGATCCTTGGGATGACTACCTGGCAACATAAGAGCCACTGAAAGAGCAAGTGAAGGTGAGATGGTTTAAGAATGGTTTGAGAGACTGACAACCCATACCCCCCAAGTCAGATTCCCAGTGAAATGCTCTCCGACAGCAAATGCAATGAGTTTGTTTCCTTCTTTTCTGAGAAGATCAATAATATCAGAAAGGCGATTAGCACATCCTCAAGTTATGCAGAGGTCAGACAGATTTTACCGCAATTTCAAAAAGAATTGACCATGTCTGGTTTTGAAGCAATTGATAGCAAAGTTTTGGAAGAAATAGTACAGCACCTTAAATCATCAACCTGTTACCTTGACACACTTCCCACACCTTTTTTCAAAAGTGTGCTTAACCGGACAATTTTCAATCTGGTTTCCGACCGCATCACAGCACAGAGACAGCGCTCATTAAGATAATAAATGAAATTCGCTTTATTTCTGATTCTGGCTCATTTTGTATGAAATGTGCTATATAAATAAACTTGCCTTGCCTTGCCTAAGAAGCATGTGAGGACACCTCACAACCTAGAAGTTACATGAGATAGAGAATAGAGAATTTTAAGGCAGGTTAATAGAGTATATCTTTTAGACATAGCATTTAAATTGAAAAATTTCAAATCTGCTAAATGCAACTATAAGGCATACAAGTGTAAACTTAAAATATTAGACCTGTCAGTGATCCAAGTCATGTGTGAAATTTGTTTTGACTGGAAATGATATCAGCGATGACAGACAGTGTTAAGAACAGCAATCCGATAACTTTAAATTATTCTGTTTAAAATGTATGGGTGGCATACAAGGTAAGAGTGTGGTCTTACAATGTAAATATAGCCTACTCTTCCCTAACAATGGAGATTAAATGTAATAACTGCTGTAATTGGTTATACAGGAATGTTTTTAGCGCTGACAAAATTAGTTTTTAATGTCATCTGGTGGATCATTCAGATGTGGTTGTACTATAAACAATAAAAGAGCTAACACGTGTTAAATGTTATTTTTTAACTACAAGGTTTGTTCGGGAAAATTAGCAGATCAGTTCAAACAGAGATCCTGGCAGATCGTATAATCTAGAAGCCTATGTAATTTATAGAATTGCTTGAAAGCAGAAGTCCTAACAGAGTCATGTGAAAGCAACTTTATCGCAGTCAGAAACCAACCATATTTACATGCAGGACCAGATTTAAAAACTGGAATCCTTACAGTTTAATTGTTTCAACTCCTATACGAAATGATTTGTATGTGCCTTTAGTGTTTAATTAATGATTAACTTACATTTAATCAAACTATCCCGCTCGCCAGTCCCGCTGTTTTTATGACTCCCTCCTGGTCAATGAAGAGTAAAGTTTTTACTTTCGGTTTCTGTTTTACTTCGTTACTCAAAATTCTAGGAAACAGATCAGATGTTTTGGAAAAAACATGTCAATTTAATTTACTGTACATGCCTACACAAATACAATTTAAAAATACTTAAAAATACACTAGTCAACATTTGAAGTGGATCAAAACCTTTCATCAAAGTTGTCCTAAAACCAAAACAATAGGCTACCCGTTTAGAACAACTTTGATTAACTTTTTTGATCCACTTCAAATGTTGACTACTATATATATATTATGATATATCTTCTTATACAATTTTTTTTTTTTATACCGACAAAATACTTTAGTATGCATATGTACAAGTTCATTAAAAACATGCTGACACATTCTTTTCATTTAATTTATGTGACCTATATTAATTCTATTTAATTTAATTCTATTTTCATTTTTAATTCATGTGACCTATATTACTTTAATAATCATATGTAACAGTATTACAACTGTCACATACATATTCATAAAAAAATATGGCACAATTTTTAATACAAGTTTTAATTTCAAGTGTTTTACCCTTATTTTGAATTTCTTAAATTCAATCAAATTCAGTTGATGATAATAATAAGATAATATAGGATAATATATAGATCAAATGAAATCAGCATCAACAAAATCCATGCTTGCACTGGAGAGGGTACCGCAAAGAGGCACAGAAGCTGCATTTAAAGTGGCATTCGATGTACTTACACACTGTTTGAATAATTTGATTTGTTCAAAAGGACTAATTTATGAATGGGTAATTGAATAATTTGCTCGACCAATTCATTCAAAACAGGGATTCAGTCAGAAACAAACAGCTCGAAGGTGCATAAAACATCTGTTGTGGATTTATTTGTAAGTCACTTAACATGAACTTTTTGTAAAAAAAAAAAAAAAAAAAAAAAAATCAATATCAGATTTGCAGTGCTGATATTCAGGAAAACAGCATTGTTGCTCGATTGATATTGCTTAACGGTTTACATACATATATATACATAGATATACAAACAAGAATTCATAAAGGTGGCATTTTTTACAACCACATCTTGAATTTTGAAGGCAAAATAACAGAATCCCCCATTAATTTCTGACCTGCTTTCCCTGTGAGGTGACAATGAGGATTTGCTGTCAGAGTTATTCAGTGGCTGTCTGTAAATTCCTTTAGAAAACAGCATGTACAGCACTTGCATTTTCAGAGAGATTATGTACAAAACTGAGAAAAATAACATAAAATAACGTTATGTCCATGCGATAATTAAACATTACAGTTTCATTGAAACACTAAGAGACCCCCAGGGGTCCTGGAGTAAGAAAATTTCGTCTTCTAATACCTTTGTAGGAATGTTATAAATATGTTGTAAATATTTTTTTTCTTTCATATTTTTATGTTTGACATCCTTGTTGTACCATGTGACACAGAGTCACAGATGAGTCATAATAAACCCCAAACCCAGCATAGACGGGTTCAGTGAACGTGGTGTTGAATGTGTGTATGTGTGTGAGTGTGTGTGTGTCAGAGACGCTGTAGAAGGACAGAGTGCCAGCAGACCAGTCCAGATACACACCTACTCGATTAGATGACAATGAAAGGGCAGGTATATCAGTGCTGTTATTATCGTGACAGGCAATGAAACGTTTATAAAAGCCACTCAGATTCCAGGACTTTTGATTGAATCCAAACATACAGTCACTTCCTCCTTTCCTGCAGAAACAGGTGTCCAAACAGGTGTCCATTTATGGTAGGAGGAGGGGGGGTTTATGAGGGGCAATAAATCAAACTTTTTGTCATATAGTAGCCTATACTCTCTCTGGTAAATCAGTTCTGTTATAATTGTGCCAGACAGTGAATCTGTTATCAGAGCAGTACAGATTCCAGGATTTGTCATTGAATCCAAACAAGCAGTCACTCCCTCCTTTCCTGCTGATTCCTTTATATGACACTGATATTTCTGTTCCCGTCCCGCTCCATTCAGCCTCCCAGTAACAGCGTCCAGTCAGACTCTCTCCACAGAGAACCTGAAGACATTCAAATCTCTCTGTATGATCAGGATACGACTGATGGTCTTTCGCATGCTTTGCCATCTTCTTGTCCTCAGATAGGATGACTTGAGTGTGTGCTGTGTTTGGGTCAAGTGTGAGATCACAGGCATCTGAACACAAAAAGAGAGATGAGCAGTACATACAAAACAACAATCACTATCTGCGTGTGTGTTTAGACCTACACTTCCGTAGTCCTGCTGTAATCCTGAACTCTGCTCCATGGTCCACACTATAAACAGAAACACACACACAAAAATACAAAAGCATGATCTCACTTTCCATATTTATTTTATTTTTTCCAAATGCAGCCATAGACTGTTCTAATTAACCCTCCTTTTCTAGCAATTTTGTTCATGATGCGTTATCTGCAAAATACATGTTTTTAAGAGTAAATACGTTATTAGATTACAGTACATTGTGAAAGATCCAGTTTTATTTTAAGAACTGCATCAACAACAGTCAGCATAAACAAACATTGAAGAATACACTGGTTTGAGGTTTCTAAAATAACTTAAACTTTGTGGCATTTCTCCACAGTTTGGCAAATCAATATACTGTAGTAAAAGTTCTATTAACACTGCTCATGTCTGCACTGCACCGTGTTTATGTTATCGGAATAATGGATTAGCTCCTTGAAGTTGGCTGAGTATATTATGCAACATTCTAGCATTTTGTGAAAAACTTGCTATGTTTATATAGCTGGATGCAGCCAAGAGAAGTTATTGATTTTATTGTTTTCTTTTGCTGTTTGATTAATTTTAATAACAGCAGCAGGTATAAGACTGCGATCACTTTAAGACCCTATTGCACAGATCCAATATACTGAAACACACCTGATTTTCTCCCAACTGTTTACTTTCACTTAAAACGTAATGACTCTGTTTACCTGAATACTCAGCAAGACAGGCATTTTGACATAACATGTTTTGTGTATTTGACATTCAAGCGTGTTACAGTCAACTTTCTGTGTGCACTCTGTGTGTCAGTCAACATGCAAGTACTTAATTGAGGTTTTTTTTTCTTTCTCGTGGCTTATTGTGTTTAAAGGTGCCATAGAATGCATTGATACAATATTTTAAATTGTTCTCTGATATCTACATAGAAGGTATGTGGCTTAGGTAAGGGCAAAGAATCTCCAGAAATGGTTTTAAATGTCCATTTACAACCCTATGATTTGTCCCTAGAATGAAATGGTCTGTTTTTACCTTATTTGGAAGGGTCATGAATAATAATGTTGAGCTCTGCTCTGATTGGCTGTTTCACAGTGCGGCTCATTTCAGTATCTCACACAGCAAGAAGGAAACACAGGAAAATATATATTGCAATACTGTCTCTCGCAGTTATATCGTTGGGTAATTGTACTGTATATAAAATGCGGGTATCAGGGAGCCGCTATTAATATGCGGGGCATTGAAACTGCTTTCGAATGCACGATCGCTTTTTACTTTCACTTTCGAGTTTTGCGATCGCACGTGCTCGTAAACTAAATCGTAAACTACAGCAGCAGTACTTACCACACATTTTACAAGATCAGATGGCGTAACTATTAGTGATCCCGACTGTAACGTCACAGTCGGTGTTATGTTCTGATTCGCCTGTTTTTCAGTGGTCTTTTGCATGCACAAGATTTACATAAGGAGGAGGAAACAATGGTGTTTGAGGCTCACGGTATGTCATATCCATGTACAGAACTGTTATTATTCAACTATGCCAAGGTAAATACAGTTTTCCATTCTATGGCACCTTTAATAGGTTTCATCTGAAGCCACTTCACTAGATACCTAATTGCACAAGACCCGATACCTGTTTCTCCTGAGACCTGAAGCCTTTAAAACGGAGGCACAATGCAAATTGCCGAGGCTTGACAATGTTCTAATATGTACACTGTATTCTATACATTTCTGTTTCAAGACACAAGCATGTTCAGTCTCTACATCACACACAGCATGACATCGGTTACTGCCTCACATACTTGAGTGTCTGCAGTGAGCAGTTAGGATCTTTCAGTTTGTCACTAAGTCGCTGGACTCCTGATTGTCCTGGGTGATTGTAGCTCAGATCCAGCTCTCTCAGGTGTGAGGGGTTTGAACTCAGAGCTGAAGACACAAAACCACAGCCTTCCTCTGTCACCATACAGCCAGACAACCTACACACACACACACACACACGCATGCGCACACACGTGTTATCTAAAAGACAATATTCACACACACACACACACACACACACACACACACACACAGTGTCAACAGTCTGATAATCTACAAACAACTGGGCTGGATCTAGGTACAGTGGGGTTTAGGGCGTAAAAATATCTTTATGTCAGTGTAAAATAATAAAAATATTTAAATTAATTTAACACATTACTATAACAAAGAAAACATTGTAAAGACATTTTGGGTGTTCTCACAAGATAAAAAAGGATCATAAATGTTCCACAGGATGTTTCCCTTTGAAACCAATGAGGTACACAATTTTGTATAGGGCAGGGGTTCTCAACTCTGGCTCTCGAGATCCATTTTCCTGCATAGTTTAGTTTCAACCTTGATCTAACTCACCCCCCTGTACCTTTATAGTAATCATAAAGACCTTGATTAGCTTGTTCAGGTGTGTTTGATTAGGGTTGGAGCTAAACTCTGCAGGAAAATGGACCACAAGAGCCAGAGTTGCGAACCCCTTGTGTAAGGGTTTCTTTATAATCTAGGTCTTCAACCCTGCTCCTGGGGACCAACTGTCCTGCAAGTTTTATTTCCAACCTGCTTTAGCATACCTGGCCTGTGATTTTTCTAGTGATCCTGAAGACCTTGATTAGCTGGTTCAGGTATGTTTGATAAGTTTGTAGTTAAACTCTGCAGGATAGTGGGTCCCCAGGAGCATGGTTGAAAACCTATGCTTTAGGATTAGGGATCAGGTTAATATA